GAAGGGGATCGGCTGCCTGGGTGTCGTGTGGAGGCGGGCCGCCCGTGCGGGTGCGGCGCGCTACGTGTGGTGGTGGGGACGGGAGGGAGGGAAGGGAATGTGGTTTGTTTGCGCGGACGGACGGGGGAGAGAGGCGCCGCGCCGGGCCACTCGGGTCGGGCTGGGCCTCGGGGGATTGGAGCGGCTCGGGATTCGCGGTGGCGGCACGTGTGGCGTGATTCTGTTCCGTTCCCGATGACGCGACCCCCGCCCCTCCCCTCCCGGTTTTATACTACCATCCTGCGTGCTTCCGCGCCGTCCGTTGCCTGCACGGCAGGGAGTGTCCACGCACGCAAGTGTAACAACCAACCAGTCCAGTGGTTACTTGGTCATCAGCTCGACCGGCCGATGTTTTTCTTCGAGCTGCACGGCATTGTCAACTCGGCCATTACTCGATCAGTCCAACTTCCCAAGGTGCGGTGCAATTGGTCACGCACTCTGCGGCCTTCGGTGCCCTGGGGAGCTTCCCGTGTACCGGGTCTCAGCCGGATCGGATCACGCTGACAGAGCCGACCTGATCCGATCGTGTCATCGTTTTTCACTCTCGCGGTCACGGCAGCTGGCCGGAGATGGAGAGGGGCGGGCAGGCAACATGAAGGAGCGAGACCGCCGGCCCGGACCGGCCGTCGTTTTCGGCATTCACGTCACGAAAGTTCAGCGCGCGACCCACCCACTGACCATCGACTCCTGGGCTAGGAGGTATAGCTAGCAGATCAGATCGGCCGTAACTTTCACACATGTACGTACGCGCATACTGCAGATGCTCCACGGTCCACTCCAGACATTGCATATGCTGGAGAGCGAGGGCGGCATCAACCGGTGATATACGCTCCGGTGGATCCATGGGAGAATATTGTACATAGTGGCCACGACCCACGAGAGTTTCTGGAAGCCGGACATGCATGGCCGAACAGAATATATTCTTGCATGCATGATCGGATCGACGGCGGCATGGCGCATCGATGCTGCTATTTTTTGATCTCTCGAACAAAAAGGAGAAAAAAGGCATTGCTGGCACTGCAGAAAAGAACGCTCAACGAAACAATAGATTATCGGCCAGACACCTACGTTCTGTGCCGTCCATATCTATGGAGATATCTTCTTTAATCGCGACACTACATTGCTTCTTTTCTTTTTGTTCAAGCTTTTTGAACGTTGCTATTGAAAATTGCAGCACATAATTGATTAACTTCTTCTTTTTTTGAGGGAATAGTTGGTTATCTTCAGTGGGAGTGGGGCCAATCTCTCGGGATGTGGATAGATCATGCTCACAGGATTTGGACTAATCACACAGACTTGTGGTAGCCAAAATAGAGTTGGAGCAGTGTGCCGATACACTTGGGGCTCCTTTGATTCCAAGTAACTTTATAGGATTTCTAAAGAATTGAAATCCTTAGGATTTTTTTCTATGTTGGTTCTTTGATTCATAGCATTGGATCACATAGTAAATTTTTCTATGACATCTTTTGTACTACATTTCATAGAAAATCTATCATCCACTCCAACCTTTCTTTATAATTTATTTATTTTTCTTGCGGCATCAAGCGCTCATTGCCAATCATATAGAATTCAAGTGGGCATGCCATTTTAACTCTATACTTTTTCTATTCCTACGTTTTCATAATCCTACGAATCAAAGAGGCCCTTAACCTCTTTCTCCTCTGGAATCTCTCGTGTGATTCATTGATCGTGATAATTATAACTGTTAGAACACAAGTTGTATAGGGATAGGAAAGTAGTTTAACTTGTATCCATGTCTATCTCTTCTTCTCTCCCTTATCTCCTGTAACCTCCCGAGAGGATCATGATCCTCTCTCAGAACTTGTACATCAAGGCATTGGCCATATATATACATTGCGGCCCGAGAGAAAGGGTTCTACGCTTCCTCATAATAACGTCCCTAAGTTATCTACACCTACATAGAGAAAATCAGGGGACGGATTGCTAGATCCAACCACACGACTTCTATTTTTTAGAAAACTTATAATCTATTTCATTCTCAATCATGGCAATACAAGTGAAAGGACATGCGGTGCCCCCATGTGTGGTTTTGGTAATTGATGACATTCTCTATGGACTAATGGTTGCATTGAGTTATATTTGAAGGATTTGTCCATAGGCATTCCTCGAAGTCCATGTGTTGGTTTCAAGGAGTTTATGTGTTGACCAAGGTGCTATTAAGGAATTATCCAAAGATTGGTCATGTGAGTGTTGAGCTTATTGCAAGCATGTCTTGAAGAAGAAGATTGTGTGACCATTCATGTTTACCTTCATGACATCATCCAAACGAAGAGAGTTGGAAATATTTTAAGGTTGATCAAGACTATGTCAAGAGTGAATCAAGTTGATCAACTCACAAAGCATAAAAGATGTACCGAGAGGGATCAGGTGATCCCATGGTATGGTAAGCATTGCCCATTGCACTTTGTGTACTAACCCATGGTCTATGTGAGAGTTCTATGTGGGGTTAGGTACATGTCCATGGGCTTGCGTCAAGAGGAAGATATCATACAACCCATGGAAAGGATGACATCAAGTGGTGATCGTCATCAAGATTGTCGTGTGCAAGTTCAGGTGGAGCACCACGAAGAGATCAAGTTCTTGAAGCTTGCCATCCATTGTGGTGTCAATGGACTTGTGAAGATGTGCCGAAGAGTGGCTCACCCATAGTGGAGTATGGGGGAGCAATCATCTAGTCTTCATCGAGCCAACGCAATCAAGAAAGGTGGTCCAACTTGAGGGAGTCAAGATCGTCATCATCTAGCTCAAGTGGACCATGTGCAGGGCAAATGTTTGCCCTTGATAGGATTTCTATTTTACCGGTATCATGGTGGTAGTTGGGAGACCGGGTTATAGGATCGTTTGCCGTACTATCAAGGGGGGCTCTCAAGTTGGTGGCTTGATCGTATCATTAGTAGAGAGCTCAAACCATTGCATCCTTGCATCATGTTTCTTGGTTCTTGTTTGGTTCTTTTTGTGAGTCTTAGAGCTTATGGTCATCTTGATGACAAGTTTGAGTTCATCAAAAACGGAGTTTGCATGCGTCTTCTAGGATGTTTTCGGTGTTGGAGGTTTTACCGGTCTTATCCGAGGAAGGGTTCTCACCATTTTCTTTTGGGCCTTTTCTCATTTTCTTCTTATTGGTATTTCTATCAAGATTGTGTTAGCCCTTGTCGCTAGCTTTCCGACAAACCTGGTTTCATCGAATTCGGAGTCCGTTTGCAAAAGTTGTGGCAGTTTTGGTGTTCTGGAAAGGCTGCAGCGGTACTACCACGAATTGGAGCGGATGTAATTTTTTACTACCGCTCCAGAGCGGTACTACCGCGGCTCCTACAGCGGTAGTACCGCTCCAGACCAAAAACTCGTCCCAAGTCCTGCGGTGGTAGGCCCGGATGTATTTTTTTAGTACCGCTTGCTAGCAGTAGTACCGCTACCCTTTGCGGTAGTACCATGATCCCTAGCGGTAGTACCGTGAGGACGAGCGGTAGTACCGCTCCGGCGGTTCTACTGGCCTTTTGCCTCCTCGCTGTTGTTTTTCAAAGGGGTACTACCGCCCTAGCGGTAGTACCGCTCCTTGGAGCGGTAGTACCGCTCTGTGCGGGCTGTGAGCATAACGGTTGGATTTTTTCCCCACCTATAAAAGGGGGTCTTCTTCCCCATTGAACCTTATCCTTTTTAGCTCGTGTTCTTCCCCCATTGTTGACCTTCTTCGAGCTTGCTAACTCTCAATCCCTCCAATGATTCTTGCTATTTCTTGAGGGAAAAGAGAGAGGAGATCTAGATCCACGTTTCCACCAATCACTTTCTCCTCTAAGTGAGGGGAACCCCTTGGATCTAGATATTGGAGTTCTTCGTGTTCTTCTTTCGTTCTTCCTCTCATTTTCTTCCCTAGCATTAGTTGCTTTGGTGGGATTGGGAGAGAAGGACTTGGGCACTCCGTGTGCCCTTGCCATTGCATTTGGTGCATCGGTTTGAGTTCTCCACGGTGATACGTGGAAGTGAAGTTTGAGAAGCTTATTACTCTTGGGTGTTTGGGCACCCTAGAGCTTGTTCCTCTTGGGTGCCTTGGCGCCCTAGACGGTTGGTGGTGTTCGGAGCTCAATCATTGTGGTGTAAAGCTCCGGGCAAGCCCAATTAGGTTG